TAATAGTCTTTGGCGAGACTATGGTTCACTTTTCCCGCTTTGGGGATAAATACTACTGTAACCTCTCTCCATAATTTTGGGAATGCATCCTATTTCCAGGCTGCTCCTAAATAATTAGCCATGGCATGATGATAGTAATAGATTTTTGGAGTAGCGCTGGGAATATGCCGTCTGTTCCTGGATATTTATAGGGCTTGCAAGTTGACACTGCCCATGAAATGTTCTCCATACTAATAATGTAGCTGACTAATTCACTTATGTAAATGAGAAGCAGCGAGGGGCTCCGAAGTGGATCATTTTCATCATCCCTGCAACCCAGAAAGTGTTTGAGTTATCTACTTCCTTTTTCGTTGTCACTCTAAGAGGTCACTCATAAAAATTTAAATGCACTTAACAGATATTTAGTGCAATTATTTTTTTCTTAGTGGTTTGCCTTCCTATTATTCTGTCATTAACTTCTCATAAAATTTATATTTTAGTAGACCTAAGTAAATAGTACCTTGCTACCTGATATAGAAACCAAACGTTAATAGCTCATAAAATCCTTTTACAATACATTTTCGAACCTATTAAATTTTAATTATAAACCGGCATTTGTGTATGGATGTAACGTATTAAAATATGTATTGGCTGAATGCATTTTTAATTTTCTTAAGGAAGTTGTCTGACAGTTGATTACGAATATTTAATTAGTTCTTAAAAAATCCGAGATCAACAGAAGCTGTGGATAATGTTAACACCTAAAATATAACATAAACTATTAATTATATGATTTGTTGGTAAGGAAAACTCCTCTATAATGGGAAAGGTAAAAATCGATGATATGTATTATTAAAAACTGACATAACTTCAGAATCCATTGAGTTCCCAAAAAAAATTTTGAAATTACATTGGTCATTCTTTTGTAAAGAAAAATATATTACTGTATTTCATGATATTAAAGAAGAAGGAGCAATGTGAGCCGAAAAACCAAGTCAATTTTATCATTTTTCAATAAATTTTCCAATTTAGCTTTAATATTTAGCCTTGATATATTGGGTATAGAAGCCCACAATCGGACCAATTCGGGGACATAGATCTATTATACTACAACTGAGGCAATGTGTAGGTTTCTCGGAATGGATCCTACCTGTTACATATTAAGGAATATGCGTTAAACCGTTTGCCGTAAAAGGAATTAGGGTGATATTTGGAATATGCTTTAATTCAATTATGAACCGATGGGAACTAGGCGAAATCATGGATCAATATTGCTCATTTTCAATACCAAATAAAGCTTATCAATAGGGAATATTTATGCAGAATTTCAACTGTAAAGCCCCTCCCATTTGGTCGTTATCGTGTTTTAAACAGACAGACGGACATGGCTATATTATCTTGGAATACAGAATATATATAATTTTGTGGGTCTGTGACGAATATACCGATGTGTTACAAACTTAATTCCAAAATCATTGATGGTGGGTATAAAAATGTGGTTTAGATCAGGAGATTGAGCTGTTCGGTGAAAAATGTGTCAACATTTGTAGTGTGTTTTTGGTAGTTTTCTAGTTGAACTACTCGAAAATGTAATAATAATCGCGATGTCTTGATCGCTTAAGGAGGTTTTTATCGAAAATCCGGTCCATTTTCTATGTTATTTGTCAGACGAGTCGGAAAAATTATTGCAGACTAAAGTTGAAGTTGACTGAAGTTCCTATATGCCTTCATAAGAATCACTTTCAAGGTATCATTATTGACCATAATGTGTTTGTACATATGTATGTGTGCTCCTCGTTAAACCTAACATACTACAATTCAATGAGCATCATACACAAATTTAGATTATAGACAAAGAAGAAAATTTGATCGGGCCCCATTCCTATGTTTTAGCCATTGCAGATCTAATAACGAACACATTAGGTTAGGTTGATAGAAGGATGTTTCTATGCTTCTCGTTTTGCATTCGTTAGGGTCATTTCATAGGATCTTTGTGGTTCTACCCACGGCTTTATTATTCCAAGAGACCTTATGGGTTTCTGTCACCCATAATTTCTGCCCTCGTTGGATCAAATGGTTTTGCGTTCGTCAGGTTAACTCCCTTTAAAGCTATTACATTCGCTCTTTCATTGCCGACTACTCCCGAGTGGCCTGTTACCCATATGATGTAAACCTATTTCTGTTTCTGGGTCTTCAATATAGAACCCCAGGCCCACTTTCTCTCCCAACAGTGGCCTGTTACCCATATGATGTGAACCTTGCCTCTGGGAGAGTATTCGTTTAGAGCTTTTTATAACCGAATAGGGTTTTAGATTTAACTTTATCTGATATCGCCTCAACTGCCTTCTGGCTGTCGGTAAATAGCCTTGTGGGCGCCATATTTATTCTAATCCGATTTATGCATTCCGTTCTGCCTGGAAGCTAGTGTTGTGAACGGTGGTATATTTCTGTTTCTGGGTCTTCAATATAGAACCCCAGTCCCACTTTCTCTCCCAATTAACAGCCAGCAGCGTAGTAACGGATTCCTATTGGTATTTGCTCTAAAGTTCCGCTTGTCCAAGACATTCTATCTGGGATCAGTGTTTCAAAGTTTCTACATTTCATGCCTATAGTTCTTCTACATATCGCCCAGAACCGATGTGCCTCCATCTTAATTTCCGGTCAAGGATTACACCTAAGAACTTAACTCTGTCTGTCACCGCTATCTTCTTGCACAGAAAACAGGGTTCAATATAATCAAACATTTTTGTTTTCTTGTGGAAAACATACTTCCGTTTTCAACGGATTAACAGTGAGGCCTCTACGTTGAGCCCAGCTCAAGGCCGTGTTAAGCACCTCTTCAGCACTACTACACAAGTAATTTGGATTCTTTCCCCTTAGAAGTATTATGACATCGTTTACACAGCAGACAGGTCTAAGCCATTTCTAGGTTAGGGAGGCTATTTATCGCGGTTACCCAGAGTAAAGAGAACAAAACGTCTTCCTGTGGTGTACCGTGAAATACCCTTTTCCTGTTGGTTATATCGTACATCCCGCAGCTTATACATCTGTTCCTTCGCATGTAGTTGATCCAGTTACGGAGCACCCGGTAAACATAAAACTGGTCTAAGCATTGGATAAGAATATCAGTGTGTACGTTATTGAAGGCGCCTTCGATGTCAATAAATATCGCCAGTGTATACAGTTTACTAACGAAAGATTTACCTATGTAGTGGACAACTTCGTTTAAAGCGGTTTCTACCGATCGTCCATTTACATAAGCATACTGCTTATATTTGAGACCTCTGTATGGTGTACTGCTTTTAACCATACTATCAACTATCCGTTCCAAGGTTTTAAGTAGAAAGGACGTAAGTTTTACGATAGGGCATAGCTAGGTTTTCCAGGTTTGGGTATAAATATTACGAACACATTATGAAACCTTCCGCGTCAAATCTATTTTCTAAAACCAACACAAACAAATTTACATGAATTTTTAATAATATAATCTACATTAGAGTTTTTTAGTTTAGTAGACTTATATCAGTTTCAAAACTAACGGTTTATATATACTTTGTTGTATCTCAAATTAATATTTCTCAATGAATAATGATAAACTTAAATACATGTTGGGGATTTTATGTCAAGTGAGCCAGTTAAGAACTCTCTTAGTACAGTGGGTCAAAGTTTGACATTTTTTTCAAAATATGTGTTTTTTCTATGTAAGACATTTCCTATTGCTCCTCGCAAAATTTGTTCCACTTGACTTTTCATAATAACCTCTTCACTATGTAGGGTATTAACATGAAACATTCACATTTATTTCTATAAATTTCAAATAAAACAGTTTATTTAATTTTTTATGTAATAATGATATATTTGAATTTATTGTTTATAATTTGAAAACAACCAAATTTTAATAATACTACTACTAAATAGTTAGAAAAAAAGCAATCCCTACAATTTTGTTGAAAATTCGTTTCCTAATTTTAAATGAAATTTCAAATTTTTTTCATATGTATGTATTTTTAACAAATTTAGTTTCGTATATATGCTTTGATGCAATCAGTATCAATGATCCCTTTTTTTTAAAACTCAGTCGTTAATTAAATTATGCTTCTTTTTTCTAAAACCAAATGAAACTAAACGAAAAAAAAAACAATTCCATTTTCTTTTAATTTAAACATATATAGAGAATTTTGTTCTTTTGTTCCATCATAATAATATTTATGAAATTACATATTTTTTTTTCATTTTTATATTTAGATATATTATTCTTTATCTTTATTTAATTTATAGATATAATATGGAGTTAAGTTAGTTTTAGTTTTTTTTGTTTTTAATATATTTTTGAGTATTAGTACCAATTGTATTTGATATTACTAAATAGATTTTATTTGTTTAAAAATATACACATACATATTAAGAATGTAAAATAAAATAATAATTCTAAATTAAATTTAATTTTCACAACATAGGTTTTTGTTTTCATATTTAACTTGCTTCAGCAATTTATAATTAATAAATCAATTAAACAATACTATGTTGTTTAATATACTACAATTATTATTATTAATAATATCTAATAAATTGTAATTATTATTATTTCAAATGTAAATTTTAAAGCATAGATTTTATTTATTTAATTTTTTTAATTGAATCTCTAAATATAGAGTTTTTCTTTTTAGTGGCTTGGTAGTATATTCATTAAAGATGTATAAATTAAAATAGTTGTTTTAAAGAAAACAACTTGTATTGAATAATCAAATATAATTATACAAAATATATAATCTATTCTATTATATATTTAATGTAGTTAGTACATTCTCATCATAAGAAAGAAAAATTAAAATAATCATACATCATACACATAATAAAAAATAAACGAAATGGAGAGTAATGTATATAACTACTTAAACGCTTGCATTAATTTTATATATTTATAATAATTTTAATTATTATTTAATTGTTAATTATAATTAGTAGTAGTTGTAGGACAATTTCTTTAGTATTTTCAATATTATCTTGTTTTTCTTTTTTTCTTTTTTTAACCATATAAATGATAAAATAAAATCATACGAATGCACTCTTATGATTTCTTGGTATGTTTTTTTTTTTCTTTTTTGCTCAATAAAAGTAAATTCTTAAATAATTTAATTAAAGTTCTTTGTTTGTTAAGGTAAGCTATATCACGTTGTTTGACTCTATACAAAAATTAAAAAGGAAAACAATTAATTAATTATTTTTCTTTGTTTCGTAATATTATCGCATTGCTGAAATTTGTTAAGCGATTGTTATGTTATTACAGGAATTTGTTTTTTTCAATTTAAACACAGTCATCTTCGTCAAAATCTCCAGTCTCTTCAATTGACCATTGTTGTTCCAAAGATCGTTCGCTGTTATTTTGTTTGTTTTCAAAGAGAATAAGAGAAAAAGAAAATAATTAAATTAATTTTTATTTAATAACTTAGTTTCAAAAAAAGTTAAAAATATTAAATAATCATTCAAAACAAGGCACAAACATAATTTTAAAAATGTTACAAATTGAAAATTCTTGAACTGCATGTATCGAATTCTGTGAATTCAAAGTTAAATGGTTCAGTTGATTATATATATAAAAAATGTTTATAGTGATTGAGTGTTATTTCTAATTATTACGTTCAGTGTTAGTATTTTTTGTAGATTTTCTATTGTTAAATATTATTTTATTGTAGTATGCATGTATGTATGTTGTTTATTTAAGCAGCTGTGTTAGTGTTTATGACTTTAACCAACATTCTAATGAATTGCACCCATTTTTACTATAAACTTTGTTAATGTTATTAACTATTAATTAACTTTAATTTATAAAAATAATTTCACAAATCTATGCTTTTTAAAAACAATGATTTAAAACCTCTAATGATAAACTGAAATGTAGAAATTATACAATTATTTCATGATAGATGTTTGGACTTTTATAGAAAGTTTTTAAATTTATTCTTCATTCATTGAACGCTATTGTTGTTTACTATTTCAATCTACCTTTCTGAGAATTGAGTTAGGTTTTAGGTTCTGCAGTCTGCTTACTGCCATGAGTATAGCTTTACTTGGGATCTGTTAGGTCCCTTTGTAACGGAGAATAGAGTTAAGTTCACATTAGTTTTGTTTTCTTTCATTTGAGGCCTAAAATTAGATTTCTTAATGAGTAGCCGGACTTAGTTTAAGTGCCAATTAATACTCAGACTAATCAATCTAAAGGTAAACATATTTGCAGAGTTCTAGTTTAAACGTTGTGGTATTTTAAGAAATCTTTTTTATTCAATGGAGCCCAATCAATCTTGGGAGTACCCTTTGATAGACTGAGTATCACTACCTATTAGTGACACTTAGTGCAGAAATATTCAAAGTAGCAAATAACCTCTGAACAGCATCTACATGAAGAAACGAATGTCCTCCGGTGAAGGAGCATAATATCATACTGACAAAACAGTTCCACCGGGTATTTCACCAAGCTCCTCCCAGGAATGTCAAGAAGGATCTATAGACTTTATACATAATGGAAACGAGTTGATATCGTTTACCTTATTTGAATTTACAACTCGTTTTCAGTATGAATAATGGCGTTTTTGTGTATACGATAAGAACACGATGGATCCGTTAGATCGTACCTCATATACGCAAACTTTGGACGTTATTCACAGAGATGCCATCAACAGAAGTAAATATGATTAACTCACAACTAGTTTAGTTTAGGATATAAAAGTTGGCCACTCCATTTGAGCGACACAAGTGGGTCCTCCTGATTGTCGTCTCTTTGTGATGCCCAAGTGGTCGCAGGAGTCCTTTATAGTGTTACCCACTACTTTTAGTGTTAAACCAGCCGGTTGGATTTACAAAATTTAAAGTCATATTAAGATTCATACCAGCTATCTCCTCCATACATGAGAGAATAGCAGAACCAAAATAATATTCTGTGTTCTCCGTGAATGTGGTAGAAGATATGAGATAAGGGAGAGGAGATGGTAGAGAATATGAGATATAGTCTCCTCTTCCACCTTATTGTGACAACTTCTGCAGTAGTCATTGTACTCTTGATCCAATCTCCTGACAGGATTGCCAATAGCACAGTGTTCCGTTATTACTTATAACAACGTTCGTATCTGCACCCTACGACCAAATTGATCTCGAAGTTGACCAGTAAAGGCGCCAATTTCATCATATCTCCTCATCGTACATATCAGGCGAGTTCCTCAACTATACAGTCTTTGACAGTTGTTATATCCTGGGACCCATATTAGCGTTATCGCTATCTCATACGGAGAATCCCGGCATTTTTCGGTAAACCAGGATATCGTGAAGACAACCGCTAGATTTCTGATCGCAGCTTTGCTGTTCGTATATACATATATCCCCCTATATGATAATATCTAAGCCGAACTCACAGCTAAAGTCCGCGGTCGCAGAATACCGCATGAATGTCGGACTTAGAAGAAAACCTGCCGCAGAAAACAAGACTAGTTCTGGCACAACTAAGATCGTAATGGAGCAACAGGCTCAATGCCTACTGGTCACGTATAGACCGTGCCGTCCCCAACGAATGTCCTGCATGTGGTCTATGTCCTCATGACACCCAACACATATTCAACGGCTCAGCCAATCCGACTTCGGTTTGTCCAATAGATTTATGGACGTAGCCCAATTTTTAGGCCTGGAAATTGATGTAGAACCCCCAACTAGATTTTTATATATGTAGATATATGTGCAGCATCCGAGATCCTGGGTCCAACCCTGCCGTTTACTACTGACAACAGCCTTTTACACTTGACATTTTAACCCCTAGCTTTGTAAAGGAGAACTTAAAACAACTTTCGAAGATTAATTTGAATCGATATTCTGATCATTTTCGTTGAAAACTGAACCTTAAACAAAAGTTTTTATTTATTCGCTAATCTGCAAGTTAAAAAAAAAACTTGTTTTAAAGCTGCCAAGTAAGTGATCGGATTGATCTCATAAATTTTGTTTTCCATGATCTGCATATGAAACTGATCGTCATGGTCAGATCTAACAAAAACAATGACCTACGTAGAGACCACACCATAATCATCTTTTGAGAAGTTGTATTAGTTTTAAAAAGTTTTAAGGTTTATGGATAAAATCGAGAGAAGAACTCTAAAGCATTTCAACTTTCGACCTTGCCAATATCAACCTTTTTGGACAGTGATACGATCTAATCAACAGTTTTGCAATTCTTTAGCTGGCAAATGATAAATAACTAAGTAAGAGACGTAATTCGATTAATATATTTTAGTAAAAAGAAAAGTCCAAACAATTAGATCTTAAAAATGTAATATTTTTTTTTTCTCATAAACGTTAATAAAGCGTTAAATATAACTATTAATATGATATTGCAAATGATTTCATTAGATGAAATTTACAAATGTTTTTAATCATGAAAATGAGTTTTAGTTAAGTTCTAATTAAACTGTTTAACAGAATTACAACACATTTTGTTTATTTTATAATACTAGATAGAAGTAGAAGGTAGAATAGTAAATAGTAACATTCAAATAAACATAAATAAATAAGAAATTAACAAAGAAAACGGTATTAATAATTACTTTTATTTGATATTCGTACGAGAGTAAACAGTAGTGGGTGGATAATAGATAATATATAGATGGCGTCAAAATGAGAAATCATAAAAATCGTAATTGCACTTTATTTATCATTTAAAAATGTCGTTTAAATGATAACGTGTTATTGGTTTTTATTTGTTTATTTCTTTAAATTTAATAAAAATACGGTTAATTAATAAAATAAACACTAAAATCGAAAATTGCAATAATATTTAGTGTTACAATCACCGTTTAAAAGCATATTTTATTTTTTTTATTCATTTCGTTTAATATTCATTTTGTTCGTTGTTTCAATTGTTGTTTTTGTTGTTAGTATAGAGTAGAGTAGTGATAATAATAGTAGTCGATTACATTAAATCTATGGAGTATAATATACACAACTAAGATGTGTGTATGTATGATTCTAGATACATATTTAAATCGTTTAGTTTTAGGCTTTATATGTAAACACATTTAAAGATCTGTTACAAGTAACCCTTCTAGTCATAATTGGCCACGACGATATAGAGATCTTGATTGTCTATATAAAAAAATAGTTGAAAATATAAAAAAAAACATATATAGAAATTGTGTAATGTAAATTGTAATTGTAGTTGTTTTTGCTCAGTGTAGTTTTGTGGAATAAAACATAAAAAATACAAAAAATTTATAAATAAATTATATAAAATTAGATATAATTAAAAAAAAAATAAAGTTATAAAGATACAAATAACTATTTATAAATAAAACTACTTATTGCAAATGAATGTGTAAAAATCTGCCTTATTAATACATATACAAATTATTTCTTTCGATCTAGCGAACAATAATGACATATCTATGATTAAGTAGTGTGTGCTGCTAAGTTTTTTTTATTATTGGAGGCTTGAATATATATATTATGTATTTTAAAGAGAATAAAGAAAAACGAACAAAAATAAAATAAATACAAAATATAAAATATTAAAAAAAAAACATTTACCACGAAATAAAATTAATAACATGTTTTCTTAATAATCATCGTTTCGCTCGCAATCTAATTTTTAGTATTGTCAATCTAGGATACGACATAGATGTGTTTAAAATAAAATATAAATATATATAAAACATAGTTATTATTTTAAACTGATATTGATGAATAGAGAATAGGAAATTTTTAAATAAATAACGTAATAGTGTATTTATTATAGAAAATATGTGTATTTTGTAGAAACTACCCTCGTATTCATAAAGTTATTAATCGCTTATTTATGGTATATTAAAGGCGGATTTTTCTGATAGAGATAATCTACATTCTTTGTTTAAACCTAGTTTAATCTACATATATTTTGTGTTTTTCAGTAATCAGTAATCAGTTACATTACTTATTATCTTACTTTTACTCAGTGTTAATGACCAATTATGCCTAAGTTATAAATGAGAAAACACAATTGACAAAAACAAGAAAGTAAACAATTCGGAGGAAGAAAAACTTAATTTTTTAGGTTAGGTTAAGTTAACGGTGCATATCCACGCGGAGACCATAAGGTCCATTGTGATTCCTTTCAAAGAGTGAAGATACAAAAACGGAGAAACAAAAACACAAGTCACTGCACTAGAGAATAAAGAGGTGAGAGAAAAAAACTTTGTCGAAGAAGTGACTAACGCCCTTGACAAAACTTAGTAAACTGCGAGGGTTCCTAGCCATTTCAGCCTGAGATTCTTTATCCTAGGACAGTAGCAAATTATATACTCGATCGACTCTATTTTCTCCTCATCCTCGCATAACCTACAATAGTCCGGTATACTTACTGACATAGCCCTAACTGAGCAATGCCTCGTTAGCATCCCTATCAGAATTCTCAGACTGCATCTATCTAGTCCTATAAGTATTTTGGTAGTCCCCATATCAAGTTTCAACCATAGGGTCTTTGATACTCTGCAATCCAATCTACTAATCCAGGACTGATTTATGATGTCACGGATTCTTTTGAATATTAGCCTATAATAGTGATAAATGGGTGGTTTTACCATAATTTCTCTGTCATCTATATCAAGGAAACTAATCTAGCCAGTTCGTCCGCCACCTCATTACCATGCACATTACATTGCCCCGACACCCAACACAATCTAATGTCAAACAGTCACATAATGTCCCTAAGAGTATTTCTACAATCTACAACTAGGCGCGAATGTACTGTGTGATAAACAAATGCTTTGAGAGCAGCTTGACTTTCAACATAAATTGTTACAACTGACCCCGAATGATACCGTATCAGTTCCTTCGCTTTCCACATCGCTAGGATCTCTGCTTAGAAGACAGTACATTAGTCAGGGAGTCTGAAGGTACGTTTTATGTTGATATAAGCGTATTGGCACCGTTATCCGTACCGGTATTCATCTAGGATCCGTCAGTGAAAACTGCACACCCACCAAACAGTCTGACGGATACAAGCCAATCATCCCTAGTTGGAAATTCTATCAGAGGTGTTTCCCCGAAGTCTAGAGTCGTAATATCATAATCCGTAATTCCGCGAGAGGAATTACCCTGATCCAGCAGACCTACTTCGTAGAGAATTTCTGTGTGGTCTTAACAGCATGTTAAGCCTACTTTAACTGAGTGGTAAGAAACCGGCTCTTAGTATCTTACCTTAACAGAGTGTTATTGGCCAATTAAACCTAAGTTATAAGTGAGAAAACATAAACAACAAAAACCATGAAATATTCAATCGGCAGATTTGCTGATTTTTTATAGATTCTACATAATTATAAAATCAAAAGCTTCGTTCAGGCGGTATGGTTGTATGGGAGCTAGGCGAAATAATGGAACGATATCAAACATTTTCAATAGCGTTCGTCCTTGAGTCAAAAGAGGAGTATGTACCAAATTTCATAAAATAATATTGATAATTGCAACCTGTAGCGTGTGGACAAGGTTTCCATGGACACACAGACGAATGGACGGACGGACATAGCTTAATAGACTCAGAAAGTGATTCCGAACCGATTGGTATACTTTAAGGTGGGTGTAGGACCAGACATCAGCAGAAACGTATTATACGCTCCCCACTATAGTATAGTATAGGGTATAAAAAAGGAGCAAAATATAAAAGTGGTATATTCTTTAATTTAAGCCAATATATAGAACTTTCAGAAGACATAATTATAAATAAAGAAGAGTGTTGTATATGGGTAAGACTTTTTTAAAACCTTATCACTATATTAATAGCAATGTTATTGAAAAATGTATCTAAATATGAATGTTACTATAGCTAATATATTAATTCCACATACGTGCAGAAATCATGAATTTTAATAATTTTATAAATAAACTGCACTAATGTGTTTAGTGTTTTTCTCTTACAATTCATGATTTCATCGTAGATGTAATTATTATTATCTTTTAATTCTAATTAAGTACTAAACTACGCCCATTATTTACAAACACCTTAGAAATTTTCTATATCTTCCAATGTTTTAATAAATTGGTTTCCATAATATTATAAAAATGTTAGAAAATTTACCTTTTACTGCAGAAACATAAATCAATTCAGGTAATATTAATCCGGTAATATAAATAATTAAAATTTTATAAACCACTTTGACAGAAAATGTTCCAAATTTTGTAGAGATACTATTGATTTGTGTATCTACTGTAACCACTAATTTCTTTTTATAAAATATGTAAGTATATTTTGTTTATGAACTAATAATTGTTTGCTAGATCGATATTTTTATGTAAGTAGAAATACTTCTATATATTTAGTCATTTTGCCAATTAGATTTCAAAAGGAAAAGTTAGTTTAACCCAAAACCTTTTTTTAAACAATTTTGAAAAATTCCTTAACCTGAGTTTCAAAACAAGAATGTAATATAATTGAATTTAACTTGTTAGAAACAAAATGAAAAACTTACCTCTCAGATGGCATACTAACAACGCCTAATTGCTGAGCCTGTACTATACGCTTGGCCTCCTCTTTTTTGCGTCGATCTTCAGCAGCCGCTTTCATGGGATCGTATTTGGATCTTCGCTTCCACATGGCCATTTCAGCTTCTTTTTGTTTGCTCACTTTGTTTGAAGTATAAATAAAAGCGTTTTAAGTTTTAAGATACTACCCAAAAGTTTATATAATTCTTACCTGAGGCATCTCTTCTTACGGCAGACGAAGCTCTGCCACTACCACCACCACCCAGTGAAGTACCACTAGTGGTCATAACAGATGTCGCTGAACGTACCGAACGATTACTGGCCCGTGATGGATCTGTACGCGACAAACCCATAGAAGAACTACTAGGACTGCGTTTCATAATATCATTTGAAGGTTGCTTAAGAGTACTTTTGGCATCGTTTTTACGTAAAAATTGGTTACTTTGGGCGGGTTTATATTTCGATATATCCAGATAACGAGGCGTAGCTCTTTGACTAGATGTGGAACGCTGTGCTGTCGTAGTGGATGGTACGTTGGCAGCAGTTTGTAAAAGTTGCTTTTTGGCAGATGCCAATGAGCTTGGAACTTGCTGAGCCAGACGACTTAGACTAGTATCTCTCGGCATTGACTGGCGTTGTGATGTGACACTGGACCGGGTCGTAGCACTTTTAACGTTTCTTCTGGGCAATTCGGGTGTGTTAGGGCACGCCATAACTCCACCAGCGGCAGCAGATAAAGCGGCAGATGGCTTTGTAGGTGGAGCTGACTGTGGTTTGCCGGCCACCTTTTGTTTGCTGCGTTCAATGCGCATCAATAAAGCTTTATTGTATCTAGTGTTAGATAGTGGCACACTATTCTCAATCTCTGATTGCTCCTGTTGATCATTGTAGTATTCGGGCTCGACATTGTCCTCTGCACCGCTCGAGTAATATTCTTCATCCATGTCATTCTGATCATCTTCGTCGTTTATATAATACTGTAAATTGTCATCGTAATCACTGTATACATGGCCAAAATTATTACTACTCGCTGATTTCTTAATTGCTTGTACCATTTGTAACTGTTGCTGATGTTGTGGGGCCACACTAAGACCATAACTGTGTCGTGCTGCTGGTGGCGTGTACAGATTTTGAAAGTTTGGACGTCCGGCTCTTTGAGTGGCTGCAACACGTGCAGAAAATGAACTAGACCTCCTCAACGGTGAAGATTGATCATCGGGAGCTGTAGAAGTAGTGGGTGATTGCACTTGTGGAGGTCCACCACCTTGTAATACTCTTCTATGGGGTGAACCAGAGCCGGCCAAGTTACCGTCAAATGAGTTCTTACGCATTCTCATTTGTCGCAATAAATACTCGCCACTAGTTAACATTTGCAACTGCTGTTCGTTTATGCTGCTGGTCATTAAATTCTGTGCTGCTTGCCTTTGACGTTGGGCATTCAGACTATGTTGTGGACTACTGTCAACCGCTGTGCCCTCTGGTGAATACATGATATGTGAACGTGCTGAATGAGCACGTGGAGAAGCTGAATGCGATGGAGATTTGAGAGAATTCTTACGGGAAAGACTTTGTTGCAGATTATTTATTGCTGCAGCTGTTTGTTGCAGGTAATCTTCATCATCAGCTGGTAAAATATTTTGCAGAGAGGCTCTAGTACGACTGGCACTGCGTGCTCTACCAAGTGAATGCAGTGGCGAAGGTATCTTTGTAGGGCTCTTAGGAGGCTTCGAATATGAAGTCGAAGTGGTAAGAGAAGGATCACTGGCGTAATCACATTCTCCTGAACCATTTCCTGCTAAACGCAATCGCTCTGCCAATGACCGATTCAACTTGGCATTGAACTGTTTACTGTGAGCACTATAGAGACTATCGTCTGTCAAGGACTCGTTTCCAGTGTCGGCGCAAGTGTACGACCGTGTCATTAACATATCCTGATTGGCTTGTCGTACACCTACACTAACATGTCGATCATTCGCCAAACTACGAGCACGAGCATTGCGTGCCCATTCCTGTATCCAATCGTGTTTCGTTTGAGCCGTCTGCAGTACTGCAACTTCACTCAGTTTTGAAGTGGGTTGTGGACCAGTTGGAGTTTCCGGTGGTGTTTCTATAAGGTTTCTAGTAGCTGCAAATTTCTGTGAAGCATCTTTCTGGTTTGTAAATACATTCAGACGATATTCGGCTTTTTGGTGATCCGTAAAGCCACCAGCTAGAGATGCTGGAGTGCCAGAGCTTTTCAATTTTGTTTCATTACTTACATACTCCGAACTATCAATTTGAGATGTTGACAAACCACTATGCCGTGATAGTTTAGGTCGAGCATCTAGTGTTCTTTGTTTGGCCAATACACCACTTGTTGTGACACTTGTAAAACAGCCCAAATCTGGATCAACTTCTTCATCATCGGTCGGTTGGCTGTGAGAAGATTTCAAAACGTCTTGTTTAATGTCCATTTGTTTGGTGGCATTCATATTGCGCAACACACGAGACTTAATTTTCTCCAAATAGGCTCCAGCCGATTGATGAGAACCCATTATTAGATCTGATGTTGAAGTACTAGTCCGTTGTCGTGGTTCCAAAGCTTCAGAATCGTGATAGTAATTAACTTCTAAGACATTATTGGAGCGTTTTGATTCCACAGTACCCTGTGATCTGGGTGTTGGCGTTATAGCATCCAATTGCTTTGGACGGTTTTTTGTTCTACGCGGATTGTCCACTATGGGTTGTCCGTTTTTATCAATATTCATGAGATCTTTTTGTTCTTCTGTGTAGTTATCACCATCTAATGTATAAGTTCCAGCTTCGCTGACATCGTCAGCATCAGCATTTAGATGTTTAAAATCGGCCAAAGGAGGTTGAGGGCACATAAAATCCACTTGTTTTAAAGCCAATTGCATGGCTGTAGAACGAGGGGTAAATTGTGTACGATTTGCTACTAAATTTGATGAACCCTTAGGTACTTGTATGGGTGGTGGTTTGTTAGCAGTTTTTGTAGTTTTACGCATTGCAGATTGTGATGTATTGGAAGTTGTTGTTGACGCTGTATTGGATTGTGGACTTTGTAAATTGCTTTCATTTGTACTTGAACGTGGCGACCAACTGTGACGTTTTGATGCATCACGCACACGTGAGGTGCTACGATCACGTACACGCAACTTCACCTAAAATGATATAACATATAAACATTTATTTCCATATTTAGTATTTTTTAATATAAATGTACATTGAAATTTGTTGAAAACAAACAAATTTGTCATTGTTTTAAAAATACACATTTTATAAAATCTCTTTATGTTTATAGTACAAATACAAAGTATTAGTCATATTAAGCTCTAATTTAAATCATCTATTTATATTCAACTTAATTTGTAATTGAAATTGTCTACAAATGGGTTCAACCTGTTTTAGATCTCCATTGCTAAATAAAAAAATAATGACTGCAATTAACCAGATTTTAATGGAAATAACAACTAAACTATACATTCAATAAAATAAACAATAAATTAAAAAAAAATTAAGTACTAATTTATATTAAATTTTTTAACTTATTTGTTTGTAAAGTTCAGATCATGATCATGAAAAATTTATGTCCAAATGTATTAAAAAAATTATTTTTAACAAAACTAATCATATAAAAAACTGAATATGTATTATAATCAAATGTGTTGTCTTACACTTAAAATAAAATACCTTTTGTGTGGCAGAAGTATCAGACTCCAATGAATTTGCATTGTTATCATTGTGGGCCAATGAATTACGAGCTGATGATCTCGACGTTAATGGTGTTGACGACTGTGAACTTGTTAGACGTGTAGGTGTCTGTGCTTTCGTTGTCGACGCTGATGATTCATTTTCATTTTCCAGTTTTGACATAGAGGCACCACGTCGATGGCGATTTTGAAAACGTTCCATCATACTTTTGTATTTAGCAGCCTGGGCAGCAGCATCACATTCCTTATCATTGAAATTGTCTATGGTAAAGGCGCACGATTGTTTCATAGAGTTTGTCATAGTTGTATTACCATTCGAAGATGTTGACTCATCACCATCACCATGATCGTATGAAAAGTGTGCCTCTTTTTCACTATTACTATTGTCTGCGTTTGTGGCTGCCGTTTTAGTCTTTACGCTTGTTGTAGTTGCTTCTTGCCGTGCTGATCCACTACTTAGTTCTTCGTCATCGTTTTTGTTATCTCTACTGCTTGTTATTTCTTTATTAGCGCTTTTACTACCAACATTCATTTCTGCAAAAGAAACAATAAAAAAAAACTCGAATATGAGTACAAACAAGAAGAGCAAACAAAATGTTATTATTAAATAAAATGAATGCTATTGTAAAAAATAATATTTATATTGCAACAATAACAAAAATGGCTAAAACAAAACGTACAATTAAGATTTAACAATAAATTATAATTAAAGCCAACTTATAGTTAACGGTTATTAGGTGAAAACGAAAGACACAAAAAATAAAACAATAAAAAGAAGACTTTACAGTACGTTGGTTATTTTAAAATGTATAACATTCGTAATAGAAAAATAATAATAATAACGCACTTTCATACCATAACAATGTACAAAAAATACATAGTTTACGTACTCGCATAGTAAACAAAGTTATCATCATACAATTTCTTTTAGTAGTTTTATCTAAAGCTTTTCTTTTTTATATAAATTTATCAAATGTTTAATGTATGAATTGATGGTTTCAAAGTTGACGCACTTAAGATTTTAAAAGCGGGTTTTTGATTTGAAATTTAAGATTAAAATTAGTTAATTAAAAATTAATTCAAATCTATGGTTATAGAAGTATTGCGTTTTTGTGAATAACTTTTAGCTACATAATATATGAAAGAAGGTGTGAAGCATTTATGCAAAAAGCTGTTCTAAGATGTACACTTGTTTTTAGAGCGCAATTTTACGAGGTTATACAAAAAACCAACAAATTTTTACGCTTAAATGTTATCCAAAAGCAGAACCTTCGATTCGGAATTATTTACTGAACTTACTCTATAATTAATAACACAGTCCAACAAAATTAAAAAAATTTCGAAACGCAGAAACGTACTGCCTTATTCATAAATATTTAATAAAATATTGTAAGAACATTTCTTGCATTATTCATAACAACTTATCAAAGGTTTATAGAACAAATTTTGTACGAAAAATTGTCTTATAAACCTTTGATAAATTGTTATGAATAAGGCCCTTGATTTATAAACCTTTAATAAAATTTTATGAATAAGGCAGTAAATATTTGTCTATAGGATTGTTCAGTGTTGAATTCGAATCATACATATCCATCACATCATAATGTCGAGATCTTATGTACTAAAGTTAAAAAACTCCCGTTTTGGGCCACATTGGAGACATTACAACAGTGCCAATGCTCCGTAATTTATAAATTTTGTTAGGTTTAGGTTAAGAAGGGAGACTGTAAGGTCCATTGTGATTCCCTTCATAAAGTGTGAAGATCCAAAGATCGAAAAAACTAAAGGCTAGAAGAAAACTAAAAGAACATAAGTAAAAAGGAGAGAGGAATGAAAAAAGGTCGATACCCAAAGTGTTTCAGTCTGGAAGTTTTACCGAGTCCCTAAAGGACGACATCTCAATAAATAAAAGAGAGTTTTAAACAGCTCAAAAAGTATTTTTATGGGAATAATAATGAAAAATTAAGTCACGTTATGATTGTCGTAAAATAATAACGAAATGTAGTAAAGTAGATTTCGTCAATGTATGACTCTTTTAGGCTTTAGGTTAAGATATCTCGAATAAGTATGAAAATATGTATAACAGAGATTAAATCTTTGTTTTAAAGTCGACAGATTGGACTTTCTGAACTAAATGTATAAACATAGGTGCCTTTGATCTGTTATATCATCTAGAATATGATGTGATGGAGAAAATCCGATGACAGCTTCGAAACTATCTGAACCATTTTCAGAATTTGACACGTTGACGCAAATGACGGCTATAGACGTCGAGAACGGTAGATGCAAATGACGTCTATAGCCGTCATATACATACATAATGTTATTTTTTTTTTTTTTTTAATATTTATTTCACTATAAATCGGAGTATAATAATTTTGTTTTAAAATCCGTCAAGATTATTTAAACAATAAAATAATATAGTTTTATTATACTAACAATTTTTTTGATTCAAATTTATATTCTGGCTGTACTCGTGGAATTTAACGAAGTACTCGAATTTTATCATTTTATGGGTGAGCGTCAACGAGTTAATAATTATCTACAAAATTGTATATAGACGGACGGACATGTTACATCGTATTAGAAAATGATTCTGAAAAGACTGGTAGTCTATGTTGGTTAGGTTGGTATATATTAAGACCCATAATACCCTCCCAACTATAGTGGTGAAAAATATGAATATGTTTCATTTTTTTGGAATTCTGTATAAAACTCCAAACTAATTTGTTTTTATCTGAAATTTACATTACATTACTGTGAAAATTTTTGACTTTAATAAAGAAAAGATATCAGAAATCAAATTAATTTCAGTTAAAATATTTAACGAATATTCAAATATACATTAATAACGTAACATTATTGGTTCTAAATAGTCAATAAGCTAATTATTGATACAATTCATGGACAAAGTGAAAGTGGCAGACATAAATTTGCAGTTTAAAATAGAAACTAAAAGAAAGACGAATAGTTAAGTATAATTTTAAAGCTACTATTCATCTTCGACATCCAATTATGATAATTAATGTTAGTAGCAATTATAGACAAGGTTTTTGCATTTATATTTTATTTATCATTAACAGATTTCTAACTCATAAGTGCGTAAAATATTTCTAAAATTTACAATAAATAATGACAATTTAATATAACTGTGTAAGATATTTAAAACGTTTAAGTTAGAAAAAAAATTTATATTTTGGTAATAATAACGATTTCTAAAATTATGAGTTGAATAGACTAGACAATTTAAAATAAACTATTTACTTATTACGGAATGAGAAATGTAAAATTAATGAAATTATAAATTAAATAACAAAACTATAGTAATTGTTTTTTCTTAAAGAAAAGAGTTTTTTTATATGATTATTGTTGCTAATGTTAATTTATTTATTAATAATCTAGTATCTATTTAGAAGATTTTTGTTTAATATTTTGAAATTAGTTAAAAATTTAAAAATATATATAAAAATTAAACAACAAATACACCTAAATTGTTGACAATTGCAACTGCAAATTATTGTAATTAAAAGTATATAACGAAACAACTAATTATAAAAACTATTTTTTTTAATCCATGAAAAATAACAAATACATTTTTATATAAAATTTAAATAGAAATAGCAATTAACCTACATGTACATAGCAAAAACATATTGTACATAATATTTTGTAAATAAATATGTACGTACATTATTTCCACTTCCTGTCACTGTCACATTGAAAACAAAATATTTTTACCTTTTATTTGCCAAATAAATTGGGTCACACTTGGTCAAAAACAAAATGAAACTAACTTAATGAAAAGCATAACATACCAAACATTATTTCCAACAACTATAAACAAATAAGCAAATATTCATAACTAACATTACCATCATAAAATCATGTGTATAGTGTGTATGAAAATTGTCGTTGAAATCACATTGAATAAAAATTGTTTGAATTTAAAACAATGTATACAGTGACGATCAGCTAATTAGCCAACCTAACGATATTATTTAATTTAAAGTTTTCTCTTTCAATATATGTATCTCTTAAATACTTTTATTCATTATTCATTCCCCAGTATACATTAAAATAATGTTTATAAACCAAGGCCTTAAAAATTAATAAAGTCGTTGAGTACTTTAGAATTAAAATAAAAGAAAGTTGTCAGAACCGTATGTATGACGGTTCGCAGGATACCGCATGAATGTCGTAAACAAGAGATGTTCTGGCACAACTAAAATCGGGATGAAGCAACAGACTTAATGCCTACTGGTCACGCATAGACCGTGGCATCCCCAATGAATGTCCTGCATGTGGTCAAGGTCCCCACCAAACCCTACTCCTCTTTGTACAGTGGTTTTGTGGATACATTGTAGTAGCACAATTTTTAGGAACACACCCCCCCCCCCACCAAGATTATTTTATAGTTTTATCTGTTACAACAACAATAACTAAGGAGTTGCTCAACAAAATGTCAAACAAAATACTCGTCACCTTACTGTACCAAAAGTAAACGAGAAAAGGGACAGTTATCACTTTACTGTAACGTTATCACTTTACTGTAATGTACAGGGCAACGTGATAGCAGATGAACTGGCCAGACAGGGCTAGGATCGGTATGGTAATAGTAGAGATATGCCTGTTAAACCTGCTATGTGTCACTACTTTATTAATTTCCAAAAAATTCAGAGACTCACTCAACCGATTCTGGTACAGTAGGATGGACTGCAGAATTTTTAATTCATTATTGTCGCGGTTAAATGTGAAAGCAACAATAGTACTATTATTGGATTGGTCAGGAAGAATATAAGGACTTTAGTAGGAGTAATAATCAGTCATTGCGCAATTGGAGCCTTCGTAGGTAATTAGGTGGGTAACTAACTAATTAGCTAACTGAGTAAGTAACTAACTAACTAACTAACTAACTAACTAACTACGTTAGGTTAGGTTAGGTTAGGTTGATAGGAGGATGTATACTACATCAAATCCGAAGAAATACACCTAGGCACTATCGGGCCTGTTGTGCGCTCCAATTCATGAAAAAAAAATAATACATTCAATGAACTAACTAACTAACTAACTAACTAACTAATTAACTAACTAATTAACTAACTAATTAACTAACTAACTAGCTAAGTAAGTACTACTTAATTGCATTACTTTTTCATCGCAATGATTTATTTTCCTCCAGTGACAAGATGGTTCTGGAGATCTACATTGAAAACCTGGAAAACGAAATATACTACCATCTTTCTTATCAGAATACTTGCTTCCAGGCGGAAATCCTTGCAAGAATAGCCCGGAGTCAACAGAGGTTAACATATTTTCAGACAGTCAGACGCCAATTAGGGCTATATCACCTAATAAGGTTAAATCTAAAATTATATTCTATGGGCGTCATTCATAACAATTTATCAAAGGTTTATAAGACAACTTTTCATACAAATTTTGTTCTATAAACCTTAGATAATTTGTTATAACCGAATACTGTTCCAGTGGTAAGCTCTGCAACATGTGAATATCAGGCAACTTGCGAACAATCGGCAAAAAAAGGAACGAATGTATTTGCTATTAAACCCTAAACTATTTTACCTATCTGTTATTATCAGGCTTTCGGGAAAATTATATCCAAATATCTTGGAAGCAATGTTTTTCCAAATATTACAAGAACACTGATTGGAAAATTATAAGGATGCACTTCTAGGAAACGAAGTTTCTGAAAATCGATTATTTCTTTCAAAGACCGCTATATAAGGTTCTTCTATAAATATTTTCCATGAAAAGCAGAGCACAACAGTTTCAATTAAGTTCCGGCTGTAAAATTTCAGATATAATGTAATATACATCCCCCTGTCAAACTAATCTAATCCAGTCAAATCTAACTCTAATTTATTTAATTGATGAAATTGACCAATAATGATTTATGTTTGGTTCTCACACGGCATTTTTGTAAAAATTTTTTTCAATAAAATCGACCAATCATTTTGTTCGATTTTGAATTATTGGTAAGTTGCGTTTCAGGTGACGATATACTGATTTAAAAGTATATTTTGTTTTGACGAAATTTTTTTAAAATAAACAATTTAAAACACACACAAAGTTGGTTTCTGCAGTGCGAAGGTTAAAACAATTTTTTAACCAAATTCTCATTATAAATAACTTTATTATCTTAATTTGTTTGTAATATAAAAAATTTGTTAATTTTATATTTTTTCTTAATTTAAAATAAATCAACTATTGGAGAGCAAACATGTTTCTTTTTTTGCTGTGTTTTGTAAAACAAAATATAAATTGAAGTCTCACATAATTCGATTTTTTATAAACAATCTTTTTCCCCAATATAAAATATCAATCAATCGATCATCGAACTGTTCAACAACCTTTTTCTATGTCGTTTCAAGTTTTTTAAAGTAAACGAATGCAACATACAGTACATTTTTTTTTTTAATTATCAAGTATGTACACGAAATTTAATTTACTATTATAGCGAATATTATGAATGAGTACTTCAGTCATGGTACTTTTCATGTTTACATTTGTTTTGTCTCATTAAGTTTATCATTTTAATTAATTAAATTTTTTAAAACCTGAGAGTTTGAACATGTTTTTTTGAAGGTAGAACGTTATTTTGTTAAATATTTTTTGACCGACAATGTGTGCTGTCGTCTAAAGTAATATAATAAAAATATAATATACAGTGACATTTCTCAACATACATACGAATATGTATATTTCTGTAGGCACATTTATGTACATATAGTGAAACTCCTTCAGTAGAATTAGTAATAACAACGACAATGTATTTTGTACGTCAGTTATTTGGTTGGCTGAACCATATTAAGTAATAGAATCAAATTAAAATACATTAAATATATGCTTCTAAACAATTATGTTAAAATTTATAGCATATTTGAAATGTAATGTTGTTCGTCTTTAAAAATCTGAAGCAGTCTCTGAATTTAAACCAGACTTCGATTGTTATATTGCACTTAAATAACATGGTGAACAAACTATTTTAACCGGCAGAAAATCTACAGTACTGGGGTGTTTTTTCATCTTATTTGTAATTTGTTTATTTATAAATTCTAGGGCTTAGATAGACAAAACTTGAATGGACTAAGAAATCATCAGTTCTCTACTGTAATGATTACATATACTTCGTAAATTCCAGCCCATTGATTATTTTCAATAATTTCGTTTCAGAAGTTGCTTTACGCACAACCAAACTGAGTTTCATACTTGAACTCAACTTATGGTATATTATAGAATCAAACCAGATCTTAATGTCCCCTTAATCTATTCTAAAATTATAAATTAAGATTTAAAAAAAGTTAAGCTCAACTTTAAACAGAAGCTTTGAAAAATATATATTAGATAGATTGATTGTTTAAGCTTGTTTTCAAGCGCCCTGCTTAAAACTCACACACAACTGTCTAGTAAATGCAAATAAAAGTAAAAAAATAAATAAAAATAACTTTTATACAAAATCTAAAGCAGAAAAGACACAAAGCGGAGTATGACTATGTGGCATGCATAAGTAATTAACATTTAAAATAAACGATTGGGAAAAAATAAGACAAAACCTCTACAAATTGGCAATATGTATAAAATGCTTTGTGATAAATTATAAAGAAACAACAATAATAATATTAAAAAAAAAACAACTTTGCATATAATTTATTATTATTATTTTTACCTTTTGGAATATTGCAAAGTGGTTTGGCAAGACAAAACTTAGCGTTTGAGTCATCAACCGCAGCAGCTAAACCAAAACTTGCAGATTGCTCTGAACGGGGTGACAAACATGGCGGTGTATTATTAATATTATAATGATGTTCTTGCTGGACGGTAGAGGTTTTAGTATTATCTCGACGAAGCTGACCCTCTTCATCAATGACATCATCGATTTTTTTAATATTCTCTGGAGTTGAGTCCATTTTTTCACGTTCACTTTCGGAAAATGAATCGGGATCATAGCCTGGTGTTGTTGGTGTATTCATTTTCTTCATGCAGGTATTGTTTGCTAAATTATTTGCGGAAGATGCCAATTCCAGAGTTGGTGGTGACAGTGGTGTTGATGTTGGTGTTAAGCCATCTTCAGTTGAGTTGGCATTATCTCTTAATGTGGCATATGATGTCATAATTATAAATTATTACTGTTTTAGTTTTCTATTTCAGCACTATGTATGTAAGCGGAGACGTGTGAATTTTTAAGGTGTCACAAAATTTAAAACAACAAGAAGGGTTTGGCTTTGAAACTGAAATTCCGTTTGTGCGTTTGTTTTTATTTTTGTTATTTGTGTCTATCACTCTTTGTTCTCTACAGGTTTCGTTCGTTTCCTCAGGTTACTTTCTATACATATTCACACTTTTATTAAGTTTTGTTTTCTGCTTTTTTGTTGTTGTTTGAATGTATTTAATTAATTAGATAGCTTAAGGAGTAAGGGAGTTTTTTTTTTTGTTTTTTTCTTTTTCAAAATATGTATATGTTCGTATCGTGCTTGTAGGTAGTCTTATGGCTCAATGATATTTTGTTCTTTTCGTTGGTTTATAACAAATTTAATATTCATGCAACATCGTAGAGGATTATGAATCTGTTGTGTTGCATACACCGTCTTCATTGGTATGTATGTTATAAACCATTGAAACAGGAAAAGCTGAAATCCATATATAAAACAAACACAAGCGTTAAAAACAAAAATATTCAATAAATGGGGTCAATGAATTTTTAAATTAAATATGCCATTACAATTACAATTTAATTCACTATAAATTGCAGCATTCGTCAAATTCGTTTTCAGTAAACTTATTTATTTTCAAGGTTTTTCGATAAATTTATTTATTATTTAGCATGTAGCACATCGTTTTGCTTAAAAAATTAAAATAAAAACAAAATTACGTATGATTGTATTGTAGCCAAAATAGCCAAAAGCACAAAACAAATAATAAAACAAGTTAACAGCGGCAGGCTGGTCTGTATGAATGTATTTCAATATTTATCAGGCAGCAACCTCGAGTCTATGTCTATGAAATATTTTTATTCTATTTTCTATTCTATTTTGTTGTTTTTTCAAATTGGAATTACATTTTCTATTTAGATAAATGGATTTTTTTACAAGACAAAAATGATCAATACTTTTTTTTTGTATCACGACCAAGGGCAACAGCGAACGCACTCAAAACACTAACAACAAAATCTTCTTAAAAGCACACTTTTCTTTATATTTTTTGGATTTTTCTTTTTAATTTTCAAAATTTTCTTGTTGTAATTAATGAACGTGAGTGATAATGAACTTAGTTGGTTGGTTTGACGTTCTACAAATATACTTTTTTTATTCTTTCTTTATTTGCTTTTAAATATTGTATTTATTTTTTATTGAGTTCTTTTTTTTGTTTTATTTTTTATTACATATTTGTTTCTATTATATTAACGTGTTTGTCCGCACCTTGCTTTGTCCGTATCTATGCGTCACTCACGATTGGTATAAGGCACTTGAGTGTGAATTGAATCAAATTGGAAATATAGTTAGTGGTCGTTTCGTTGTACGGCCACTAACTTGCCTGTCTGTATTGGCCAAGTTGTTTGTCATTGTAGAAAAATGCTTAAAAAGAGAACAAAACTGTGTGAAAAGAGTGTAAATTAAATAACGCTCAGAGATGTCAAATTTAAAATTTCAAAAAACCCGCTAAAATCAAGAAAATAAATTTATTAATATTTTTTTAAATATTTCTTTTTCAAAAAAATACGAATAAAAGACAATAATATCTTATATATTCACATTTAACTATTGCTTCTTTAGAAGCTGTTTTCTATTAATATTTTAAATAGCTAAAAAAGGTTTGACTTAAAATTATTTCTAAAAAAGATTTCCAGTTATTAAAGTTATAGAAAAAAGTTTATTATGAACTTCTTTTCAGTCACATCTAATTCAATTATAATTATATTTTTATTTTGGAGAAATTAATTTCGATCATTTTTAAAACAGCAAATATTATAATGTCGAATTTTACCTAATTCTTATAAGAATATAATGGAATCATTTGCTAAAGGGGTATATCATTAGAAAAGCCGGCAATATGATTTTTAATCACATACAATTTAGTTGAGCTAAAGATACTGTATATTTAACACAATTATAAAACTGAAAGTCCCAATTGGAGCATCCGGTTTTATGGATCTCGATTCTCAGTCCCAATGACAAAACAAATATTTAAGTGTAGGACTTATATTTAAGTACATTACAAACATCAACAATGATCATATAATATCGTTAGTGTCTTGAACTCGGACTTTACCAAAACCACGGTGTTATCGTGGGGAATTTATTATGAGTTTGTGCTGATGTTTGTAATATACTTAATAATATATTATCGTTAGTGTTTTGAACTCGGACTTTACCAAAACCACGATATTATAGTGGGTATTTATTATGAGTTTGAGCTGATGTTTATAATGTACTTAAATATCATTCATTAACTGATCAGTTAAAATTTTTCTAAATAATATGCAAACAATCATAATAATTCCTTAACAGTTTTTCAAAATTGGTCCAATTCTTAATAATTTCAAACAAAAAACTCTGAATAAAACTAAAGATTTCCTAGAATCAGTATCGAGGTTAATGAATTCCAACAAAAATCATTGATTATAGAAGTGATTCCAGAACCGTTCCACAGAATGAGTGTCGACTTTCTAACGCTTCCTTAGAACCAGTTCCGAAGATGACAATTTCGAACAGAAATCGTAGCGCTCGATTCGATAGGGGTGTTTCATAAATATAAAATTATTTCAAAGACAAAGACAAAATGTTTTGCAACTAAGAACGCATCTGAGAACGCGAAGTTATGGTATAGGGTTTAAAAAAAATGTGATGCTTCCTTAAAAAGCCTACTTTTACCAGTTCATGCAACTTTTCGATCCATTTAGAATAAAAAGTGAGATTATTCTTCCCGAAACAAATCAAAAATTTGTTTATTTTCTCTAATGTACATCCTGGGGTGATCAATTATTCGACATTTTCCAAAAACCGGTTTTCGAATAGTTGACATTTGAAAAAACCGGTTGATATTTTTCAAATTCATTATTATAAATTTATTTAATTTGAAAAAATTAATGTTTATGTTTAAATTTGATTAATAAAACATGGCCTGAACTGATTTTTAACAGTTTAAAAGATTATAACTTTAGATCTAGTTGTTTTATTTACATTATTTCTTTAATGAAAAAAATAGGAAAAAAGTGGGACTCTTCTGTTAAACATAAGGTACTATGTAATCCTAGTTTATTCTAAAGTCCCTGTTTATGCAATTTCCATAGGCATTCCAACACTTCCACAATATTTCAAATTTTATCAAACAGTTATTCCAATCAATTTTACAAATAAAATTTCTTAATTAGGAAAATCAAAAACGTTTAACCAAAGGTGCTTTAGAAAAATATACTCTAGTTCCACGACTCGAATAAATATTAATATAATATATTAAGGGCCTCCGGTAGGTTAGTGGTTAGTGTTCTAGTCTGGTAGAGCGGAGGTAGTGGGTTCGATTACCACATGAGGCACTAAAATTTTCTTTGATACATGGTGGAGTGCCAAACAAAACTCATTTAGGATTTTGGTGGAGACCAATAAACTCAGGAGCGGAGTTCGGGAGTTCCAGCTTCCTATACGAAGGTATAGGTCGGATTGGCAGTTCTTGGATGAGGCTCTTTTAGGCGAAAGCCGTTATTGGTGATGGTGTTATGAATTTTTCAAGGCCAAATAATCCCTCCTTAGTGGTATCATATTGTTAAGGGGGCAACTTAAAATTAAAACAAACAAACAAAATGCATGATTTTTGTGATGCGTCGTATGCCTCATTAATAAGATATTTACACGTTTCTGACCAATTTAAGATTTTTGGCATCGATTTGTTAGAGCACATTTTTGCATATTTTACCTTTAAATTCATAATTTAGCTTAACATGGCTTTTGTAGTATATTTAAAAACGTCGTTTCTTATACCATGGTATGACAATTTTTGTATGAGAACTGTCAATATATCTTAAAGTTAAATTATAACTGAACTTGGTGAAAATGGGGGTAAACATATTTGAAATCGAAGCGTTTAGATTTGGTAGGTTATTTTTATCCCTTTTTATCCAGCTCCAGAAACTTACTTTTCGGAGGGAACATCAGTACCTTATTTTCACCTCATACGAACGGGGTCACCATAAGGTATATTTAAAATAGCAGCCTAAGCCTTCAATTTATAAAATCTTTATCATAGGTATTTATTAAAATATCATCATATTTATGAAAACTTCATCATTCTTTGTAATTATTTTGTAGAGCTTTTTTAACGCACAATGAAGTTGGCATCACCATACATATAAGAGTATTTTTATTGAGAGAATATGATATTGACCTCTCTCCCAACCTTATTAATAAATATAAATTCAATCAATTGTAAAAAAATACAAAAATTGACCACACAAAAGGGCTTAAAATTATGTATTTTTCGTCTATAGCTTCTTTTGGAAACAATGTCTATCCACCACCATTAAAAAAGGCCGATGCAGCAGGTGCATAACAAAAGTATTGTCGATACACAAATTTGTTTTAATTTCCGTTATTCAAAGATGCATTTATAAAAACCTAACTGTACTTGTTTAATTTTTTAACCACTTGATTGACCAATCCCTTCATAATTTAACTGGACTTACAAATTACTTATTTCAATTTGTAGGAGCCATGGACAAACAGCTGCTGTCTGTCAACAAAAATTTACAAACAACCACCCCAAACATTTTTTTGTAACATTATTCCACTTAGAAAATAACAACAAAGAACATACGCACACACACCCACCCATACAAAAAATTATTGCAAATTCACTCTCTGTATGCGTACAAAGATTCACTTGCCAATTCCAATTGGATTTTTTTCTCTTCTTGTCTCATCACATCTCTATCCATATCTTATTTTTTTGTGAAGGCATTTTTTACTTTTTTGTCTACATATATTTTCTGCACTTGATTTTTTTCACTTGCTTCTTTTGTCATAATGTGTGAAGTTATATTAATAATTTTATGTTTTTCTTAAAACATGCAATCATGCTTTTTTATTTCACTTATTTTTTAATATTTTTACTTTTAATTTATTTAAATAATTAAAAGAAAACACCCACCATAAATTTGCAATTATATTTTTTTGTTTTGTGCCAAAGACGACTGAGTCCTGCGCCGATAAATATTAACGGCGGAGGCGGCTGATACAAAAAATATCGGCGGCGGCTTAAACTCGACTGTAAGCCGACTAAGTTATCAAATACGCTTAATTTTTAAATTTTCAAAGATTTTAAATAAAAACGGAATCCGAGAGATAAAATGAGCGATTTTGTATATAATTTATAACAAAAAAAGAGCAAGCGCAAAAGTTGTGTTAGAAATTATGCAGGGATGCAAAAAAAATAAAAAAAGTTTTAAAAATTTGATTAATTCTTAAAAATTAAAAACAAATCCATTCACCAAGTTCTATGATGATCGGCCTATATTTTCCCAGGTATTTATTTTTGCCGCATAGTGTAATCTATATTATACAATTTTGAATAATCTAAATAACATTTAAATTTTTTTTTAACTTTAATTTTTAATACGCCATTAAAAGCGCCTCTCAAAGACCTTTCACATGATATCAAAATTGATTATCATACCTTTACGTGAAATATAAATAAAATAGGGAAAACTTTAAAAATGTTCCTCTTTATTATTTGCCTCTGCCTTACAATTAAATAAGGGATACTGTTTTCACTGCAGGCCACATTTCATAATTTAATGATAAGCTTGCAGATTTAGGTTTGTCAAATTGTAAACAAAAGTGTTCTCGTTTGAAAAGACTAAAATAATATACATATTTCGGAAACCCTTTATTCGTCTTCAATACTTAAATATATATTTCATTCCGACGTGATACAGAGATTTTAACTTTATTAAATTAATATCAGAAAATCCATAGCTTTACTACGCGTAAATAGTCAAAACCACGCAGTGAAATAACTGAAGGTATTTTAAAATTCAAATTTCCGCAACAACATCGAAGAAGTCAAACTTTCTATATTATTTTCCCGAAAAATTAGCTTACATACTCAAGTCACCCATCTGCAATCGCAACAAATTCTAAAAACGTGACTCTTTCAGCACATGTTGACAATATTTGATAAAGAAACGTGAAAGTTCTCACGATCATAAAATTAAACATCATGTAAACATTTCAAGAAGGAGGTCATTCTATCTTTAAAACCATGCAATTGAAACCTCTACATTTTTTTCGACATATGGATTTATGGAAATAAAAAAATCCTCAAGGGGTCCGCGAGGTAAAAAACGGTGGAAACCGCTGTGTTAGGGGACTGATAGAAGGTTTACTCAAAAAGGTCTTCCGTTGAAGGTCTATTAGAAGATCTTTCGCCGAAGGTTTATAAGAAGACCTATAAACAATGATAGCAACCGTTTTGAAACGGTGATAAGGTATCGGTATTTTGGCTTAAATTTAAATTTTCCTTTTTAAATTTTCGTTCAATCAGGATACTGATTAATTTTATGTTTATATATTCAATATTTTAGAAAACTCATAAAGTACCAGTAGAAGTACAAAAAAGTACCAAAGTAGACCTCTTTTATTAATTTCATGTTCCTCAGTTTAATATTATAGAAAATCCAAAAAGTACCAGTTAAATAAGGAAAAAGTACCAGATAATAAATACTCCATTTTAAATTTCCATTCACTCAAGTCCGTGATTGCTTAGTTTCATGTTTTTAGGTTCATTATAATATAAAACTTAAAAAGAACCAGTTGAAGAACGAAAAATTACCAAAAGGTCAAATTTTATATATTCGCATTTACTCCGGCCTCTACATGATTAATTTCAAATTTCTGGGTTTAATATTATAGCAAACTCAAAAATTACCAGTTAAAGAATGAAAAAGTATCAAAAAGTCCCCGTTTATATGTTCTTACTTAATCCGGGCTCTACATGCTTAATTTCATGTTTCTAGGTTCAATATCATAGAGAATTCAAAAAGTACCTTTTGAAGAACGAAAAAGTATCAAAAAATCCCATTTTATAAGATTTCATTTAGTCCGCGCCCTACATGCCTAATTTCATGTTTCTAGATTTAATTTTAAAGAAAACTCAAAAAAGTGCCAGTGAAGAAGGAAAATGTACCTAACTAAAAGTCTATAAATCGATTCCTTTTAAAAACCGAGAAGCTTTTAAAACCGAATTTTGTGTTCTACAAATCGAATTTTAATTTGAACGTTAAATTCAAAATAAACATATTTTAAATGAAAAAGAGTCTAAAATGTCCATAGCAATTATTATATTAAGTTACAATTGTATTCAAAAACGCAAAAAATAATTATTTAACTTATTAGAATAAAATTAAATGCGATTTACTTTCGACTAGATTTGTGTACTCGATTTTAAAACGAAAATTAAAAAAAATTATGAGAACTCGTTTTTAAACGAGAAATTTACTCGGATTCGATTTACAGAACAGACAGAATGGTGTTTGAATAAAATCAAATTTCCCGTTTTTACCCCCTTTCGGTATTTCTTTCCTCCCCATTAACGAAATAAAATTTGTATTCCAAAAAGTTGCAACATCGTTGTGGGATTCCGTTGTTATGTATTCAAAACATAATACATATATATATATATATATATATATATATATATATATATATATATATATATATATATATATATATATATATATATATATATATATATATATATAAATTGATAAACCAAAAGCAATGTTTTATCAAAAAAGTACCAAAAATAGGTACAATTTTCATCCCTTAAACGTCCGAATATCCATTCATATTTTTTTTTTTTTCGTTAAGTTATGAAGGGGTCAAAAATTTGTTGAATGTTCACTGGTTTAAAAGATACATGGGGTGCAAAAAAGTACCAAAATACAGTTATTTCCCGTTAATCCCAATAGGGGCCGATTTTGCAAAAAGTACCAGACACCTGTCCGCTTATTTTCTAAATGAACGAAGACTTCTTAAATGAACGAAGCTTTAAACTGATTTTGATCTTTTCTAGTTTATGAGATATGAGGTTACCGAATTTACCCCCTAAATATTCGAATTTTCTTAGTGCATCTATTTGGTGGGAGACCAACCTCCTGTCCAAATTTCAGCTCTTTAGCTTCAAAGATGTAGTATATAGATAATTAACAAAAGTGTTATATTCTGCTATGCCGAATTGGGTCAATTATGGACCAAGATCTCCATAATTTAAACTATTTTTTTAATTATACCATAATTCTATCATAATGCTAAACTTTTGGAATGATTGATTTCTGTAATAAATTGATTTTCTGTAATAGGGTTAAGTTAGGAGATATGAGGTTACCGAATTTACCCCCTAAACATTCGAATTTTCTTAGTGCATCTATTTGGTGGGAGACCAACCTCCTGTCCAAATTTCAGCTCTTTAGCTTTAACCGTAACGTTAGAATTTTATATATATACATATATAGATGTAGATGTAGTATATAGATAATTAACAAAAGTGTTATATTCGGCTATGCCGAATTGGGTCATTATGGACCAAGATCTCCATAATTTAAAGTATTTTTTTAATTCTACCATAATTATATAATAATGCTAAACTTTTGGAATGATGTATTAACTATAATTTGATTTTCTGTAAGAGGGTTATATTGGCGACCGATCCTCATAATTTTAGGTTTCATAAATATAGGATTCGGTTCCTAAAAAAGTTTTTTTTCGTTGAATTTGAAAGCCATTTTTGTGCGTTTTAGTCATTTTCAGAAGAACATCTCACATGGGTTTAAGGTGAATTATTCTTCGATTGTCATAAAATTTGGTAGACATATTTTTCGTTTCAACAAAACTTATTTTATTATGGTTTAAAATCCTGAAAGAAAATGTCAGAATTGACGAAAATAAAATCTGTTCAAATATCTTGAAATTTATGAAAATATCGTAAAAAAAATATGAAAATTCTCATGTAAATTTCATTTCAAAAGATTTTTTGAATACTTTAGGAAGTCAAATGTTTTAAAATCTCTCATACAAAATAAACATTTTATTTAAAAATAATAAGAGCTTCAAACAAGCGCTTATCATTATTTTAAAATTAATTCCATTAGGGCGTCCCAAATTAGTGAAACTAAGTCAAATTGTAGTTATTAAACATCGTAATCAATATTCAGTTAGTTCAGATCAATTTTTAAACAAATCGTTTTTGAAAAAAATTAATTTCAGACTATAGAGCATGTAGTGAAAACCATAAAGTTGGCCAAGATGAATTTTTAATGCATGGATACAACAAATTACATTTTTTAATTTAAATGAATTCAGAAAATATATTTGAAGTCTATTAATCGAAAAATATTAAACTCTAAGCAACTTTTAAAGAAGTCGTATAATAGGAATGATTCATGATGGGTCTTGACAAAAAGGGTATGGTCTAATAAATTTTAAAATGGCATCGTAGACCAAATGTTGTAGGTAAACATATTACCCCAAGATATGTTCAATAAACAAATTTAATAAAATGGCGGTGTTGTCGTATGAAAACATTATTGATTCCAAATTGTTGTAAGCTCGTTCCATAGGAAGTAGACCATTACATGGTTGTCGACTTACTGATTCTAAAGCAAAACGTTAAAGGACCTCTCGTATAACATCTTTTAAGGTTTTCTGAATAAATTACTGCTTAGTAATCGACCACGACATGTGTCATCAAACCCCTCAGAACCTTTGTCGTAGACATTAAGTTCAGGAGGCTCATATACCCAAATTCTAAATAAAATCTTTCAAAACTGACTCATGTTGTACTGCCACACATTAATTAATAATATTTTAGATTAAAGTCCTTTCGTTTTTGTTTTTATTTTAAAAATAGTTGAACTTAAATCAAATACTCCTATTATTTTGAAGATTTCTTAAATATTTAAAATAACGATTATAAAAATTACAGAATAAGTTAAATAAATAAATTATAAAAATATTTAATTAAAAATCTATATCTTTTACTTAAAAAATTTATATTCAAAATTTTTCAAATTTCCACTCCTATTATAATATGTATTTTAAAAGCAACTACTGTACATCGAACGTTGAGCAAAGTTTTATAACGGCCAAATTTCAATGAGCGGCTTATTATTAGATAAACGAAACCTTGCTTAAATGAAAACAAATTCATTTTATGTTGTAAAATTCCATAAATTTAGCGAAAGTGTTCTGTAAATTATAGAAATTATGGCAAAATTTTTAAGCCGTATTAAACCGACATTTTCTTAGGCGGGTAGGCTTAGTCGGCTTAAAGCCGAATCGGCTCGGGTCTCTGAAGACGACTGACTTACTTACTAACAGCGTTGTCAACTCTCTCTATAAAAAAAAAAAATTAAAATCTGAAACAGCTTGAAAATTATCATCGGTGTGGCAATGCTGATTTTTAGACGCAGAGTTGTAATTGATGGCAGACAAAAGTGTTGGAAAACGGTTACAAAACCTGTCCCATAACAGTATGGCAAATAATTAAAAAAAATGCCAAAAGCAGTGTTGGAAAACTTTTAGCCAGTGTTGGAAAACGTCTCGCAATTCATTTGTTACAATTCTCATTTAGTTTATAAAAAAACTGCATGAAATGCAAAAAAAATTAACACACCCACCACCCCATCAACATTTTTGTTGCAATTTTTTGATACCGACAACGTGGTGGTGTAGCGTAATGCAGCACCGCCTGCGGAAAAATTCCGTCGTCGTCGCCGAACAACCGCTGCATTTTTTTTGCCGCATGTGGTGAATTTTTTTTATCATAAATTCCATTTTTCACCAAACTCTTCTCATGAGAAAATTGTCCCAAAAATACAAAAATCTATAGGGTGACTTTCTTCAAACTCACCACACATAATATAAAAAGTGGTGAATAAAATTGTTATTCACCATAAACGCCGTTATACGAATAAAACTGCATTACCGACCGAAAGTTGCAGAGGCGATATCGACCGTTTTATCGAAAATGTGTATTATCAGTGGTGAGTTTGAATACGGTACTATCAGTGGTGAATATAATTGAAATTGACTGCGTAATTATAAACTGTATTATCATGAACAACCCTGCTTTTGACACGCCTTTTTAACGCCGTCAAATTATTTACGACTTTGATCTCAAAAATAATAAACACGTGTTGACAGCTGTCAGTACACGAATAGCGCGTATAAACAAATTTCATTAAAAAGTGAAATAAAGTAAAAGAAATTAAAAAAAATAATAAAATGCGTGATAATACTCCACCAAGACCTGCTGATATTGAAGATGATTTTGAGGAAGTCTATGATGAAAATGATGGACCACCACCCGAGGACGACGATGACTTGGAAATGGAGGAAATAACATTAGAGGAACTTGAGTCTCGTTTACAAACTGGTGCTTACGATTCCGACGAAGAGGGTGAAAATCATAAATCACCTGTACAGGACGATTCCATTCTAACATTTCAACAACACTCAGCACCAGTATTTGCTTGTGCTTTCAACCCACAAAATAATATATGCGCCACTGGCGGAGAAGATGACAAAGTATATGTATGGAACAGAAATACTGGTGAAGTCATACAAGAAATTACCGATCACAAAGATACGGTAACCGAAGTACATTTTAATCATGATGGCACATACTTGGCTACCGGAGATATGGCAGGCGAGATTCTGTTGCACAAATTGCAAGAATCTAGTAGTAGTACTGAAAATGAAGGAGCCGGCGTTGTTGGTGTTACATTACGCAAAGTGTGGGAATACTCAATGGGCGACATGTCCTGGATGCGCTGGCACAAAGGTGCAAATGTACTAATAGCTGGCAGTGAGGATGGTGAAATTTATGTGTTCCGCCTGCCGGCAGGCGATTGTAAAATTCTACCCGGCCAAGGGGTACGTTGTGAGTCGGGAGAAATTACCGGTGATGGTAAAAAGTTGTATGCCTCGTACAACAATGGCACCGTCAAGTTATGGGACATAAAAACGGCATCGGTTGTAATGGAAATTGATGAACACAATCCAATGGTCCATCAAGAGGGATCGACTACAGTGGCTTGCGATAAGGAATCTCCACTGTACATGTCTGGCGATGAAAATGGTATGTAATGATTTTTTCTTAAAAAAAACAGACTACATAGGTTTAGGTAATGAATGCAAGAAAATTCTCTTATAAAATAATATATAGCAACTTGTTAGTTAGTTTGCATCAGCACACCTAATAGTTTAAAAACGCCTTTTCCGCAAATTTATATCATTTATTATATCCATCCCCTGTCGCATATAAGGCTTCCTAGTATCATTAATATATGAATGTTCCCCCCGAATTTGTCAGTTTTGCAGTTTCTAGATTGATTCATGTTTGAAATTATCAAAACTGAAACCAGTTTAGTAACATATATAATTCATACATACACCTATTTACATACATGCAGAACGAATGTCGAGAGTTTAACGTGAACACCTGCCTTGACGGCCTAATTCTTCAATGAAGAACTCAGGTAGGAATTTTTGTACATGGCTGAGCCGGTCCATGTACAAGCACTTTGTTAAAGAACTCGAGCTATCTAATCTCTTGCCATAGTAGCCCCTTTGCGGAATGACAGGCAGCATGGGATCAATCCCAATGCAAACCCCGACAAGGAAAAAGCAATCACTGGTCTAAAGTCAATAGAAGGGGGTGACTAGTCTCAACATTAGGTGAAATCAAATCATTAGGCCGGAAGGTGACCACCCTTATGATGTCATGAAAGATTGCATTATTCAAAATGCAATCCCCATCATATAATGACCCATTCCAGTGCATTCCTTAACCTCTTTAAGCCCGCGCAACCACACTACTGAGATGGCCCTGTTGGTTTGGCAACAGCACCTAGAGACATATTTGTTAGCCCGAAATACCCATCAAAATAGATCAGGATCCGTCTTTTATGAACCGATCAATATAACAAAGGAAGTAGGAATTTCCAAAGTCAATTAATTCCAATAATTGCCCCGACAAATTAGTCGCGTAGCATGTATCAATATATCCTGTTGAGATGGCAACAGCACCGAAGAACTTCCCCGAAGCGTAAAAAGGCATACTAAATCAGTACTAATCCCCAATATATGGAGACTTTCCCGATCCTATGATCATAAAGATCGCTCTACGGGATGCCAGGCAACCATTGAATACTAACCTGACAATTTCCCAGCATATACCGACGTCCCACTACACGACCGGTAAGAAATACCGATCGGGTTTAGGAATCCAGCACATGCTGCTTTGTACACATACCTGTTCGAAGAGAGAATTATCCAACCCATTAGGTATAGGATATATCAGTCCTTAAACCAACATTATCTCCCCGCGATTTGGGTTTCAACCACAGCCACTACGTGGATCCCGAAGGAACTTCAACCAATTGACCGGCTAGGAATAGGTCCTGTGGGCAACCGGCCACCCGTAGTGCCAGATTATATGGTGCTCTGGTTAGACCCCATGCCAAATCATTCCAAGCCGATGATACATTTGACATCACCAGTTTATAGTCCCGGCATACTAGAGATACTGGTAGCATCTCTTTACCCCGGGATTGCAATACACCATGATGGACATTTCATCATGGAAACATGGCCCGGGGGGTTACATGCAGAACATTCGACTTATTCCAAAACTACTCCTTTGCTAAAATTATGGAACTACATACATATCACAATATTTTACTCACCTTAGATTTAAACGCCGCTTAGTAATTGCAAGAAAGAAATTGATATTAACTTAAAAATATTTTTTTCATTTTATTTAGGTAAAATTATCTTTAGTACTCCCAATGGTCCTGTTGGTATGGTTGAAGCAAATGGTGCCGTCGAATGTTTAGCATTTTCTCCTTCGGCCGATTTTCGAATGGCAGCCAGTGGTACCCTACACGGTCAAGTTGCTATATGGGATCATTCCAAATTGTCTTTACGTGCAGAATGTGAACACGCCGATGATGGTGTTACAAAGTAAGCTTAAAGAAATACATACCTACAAATAATTAATTCATCTAATATTATTTTCTTCTCTTTTTAGAATTCAGTGGATTAGCGATTTTACTATTTTAGTATCAACATTGCAGGGCAATGTTATTGCTTATGATGCTCGTACTGGTCAACGAAAATTTACCTTAAGTGGGCATTTAGCCGAAGTCTATACATTTTGTTATGATCCCAAAGAGAGTTTATTGCTAACAGTGTCTGAAGATAATTCAGCCAAAATATTTAAAGTTCCCGAGTTGGGTGATTAATAAAAGAAAATTATGGTATCGAGAGAGAGACACAATTAAAATTGATGTAGTCATTGTTGCGTCGTTTAAGTTTAAGCTTTTAAGTTTTTATTATTCTATTATTCTTTTGTATTTCATTAGCCAACTACATACATGTGTAAATAGTTAAAAATCTATCCTACCTCTATGTTAAAATTCTTTTATTAATAACAATATGAAGCATAAGATCATGGTAAGTTTAAAATTTAAAACTATACGATCCGGTAAACATTTTACAAAATGATTTGTGTATGGACATTTTAGTCTACCAAGACTGAAAAAATAAAAAACTAACTTTCGCATTTTTAAAGATAATTTTACAAAATTTGATACATACACATATGGACAAAAAAATAAATACACCAGTAAAAGTTCTGCTTAACAGCTTATAATAAAATATTTATTGAAAATAAATTAAAAAGTGAACCTAATTAATTTTTTTAGAAGATTTAAAATAAAAATACGAAAGAAAAATAAATTTAAATCCTAAACAGCTTTCAGTCTTCTTAAAAATATTTAAAGATGGTGGACAAAAAATAAGTACATTCAGCAAAGGTACCAGAAAAGTAAATCTAAATCAAACTTTTGTTTGCTAGTATGCAGTGTAACTACAATTAATTTAAATATCTGACTTGGCCAGTCCAGTAAGACATCTTCGTTATCCTTAAACCAATCCTGACACAACTTTGAGGTGTGCTTAGGACCATTATCCTGGTGGAAAACCCACCTGAGAGGCATATTTTTTCAGCAGAGGGATATATAATATTTTCTAGGGTGTCCACGTATTAAAATCTTGTCATGGTGTCGGAAATCTGATGAATATTACCAATACCTTCCACGAAAAACAGCGAACATGGGATTCTTTACCTTTGGGGTATTATACATTCCTAGCCAAGCCATTTTCTAACAAATTAATTTTAGTGTCGTCGGTCTATACGATATTACGCCATATTTTTCACCTTTTAGTGCGGACAAATTTGAGTGAATTCTGTCGAAAGTTAGCAGTCTCTTTATTTTTTTGCCGAAGCAAATGAATTCTTCTGGCTATTCTACCAGGTAAATTGTCTTCAACGAGCCGTTCGGAAAAGGTGCCATACAATCGGAATCCTAAATAACTCTTTAGAGCTCATAATTTCGTTTAATATACTTGAATTTTTAAAAAATCGGCCGATCTATAATTTATATTCCGTCAACCATACTCACCATTTAAAAAGACGTGAATATTGGACATAGACCCACACGGGAAGAGCTAGTTAGTTGAAATTTAGCATAAATATTCTTTATTGATAAGGTTTGTTTGGTATTGAAAATAAGCAATATCGGTCCATGATTTCGCCTATATATATAAACAAGTTTTATATGAACCAAAATAGGTCTACATAATATTATTATCGGTTAATAATTGACACTACTACTCATATAAAGTCCCTTCGGTCCCTATTCCAGATATCACTCTAATGTTAAGAGGGGAGCATTACTTTTACTGCAAACGGTAAGATTCGGTATAGCCGAATATAACACTCTTAGGGCGGGTTTTTGAGTTATCAATCAAATGCCAATTAATTATCAGATTAGCTAATTTAAAAATAAATTTAAACTGATGTTAATCCCCTTTGATGTTTTGAATACAAGACCACTAGTATCATGGGTATAAGGTGGCGTTTAAGGACAATAAATGCTGTCGCACGTTGTAATGTGTATTATTTTTGATAATCAAGCATTTATGTTGAATTTTGGCATAATTTCGATATATTTTTAATGAAAACAAAATTTTCTGAAAGAGGTGGAGGAATTTTTGTTGTCATAAAAGTTATTTATGCCGAATTTCATCGAAATAAGGATATTAATGTTTCCTGAAGGGTACTTTGTAGGGGACTAGGGTCAAATAAGGACTGATCATTATAAAATGTTTATGTATGCTTGTATAAAACGAAGTTGTGCATATTTTTAGGGGGTCCAGTTGTTTGGGGATCAGGTGAAATAATGGAAATTAGACGACTCAGAAAATTCTGAGCTAATTGGTAACTTTATGGTTTAAAGGACCATTAATTCTATGCGTTACAACTAACAGTATAAATCCCATATACTTACCCTAAATAGGATATACAAATATTTCATAAATCTAGCCAAATTAGGATTATGTGGTCATAGCAGACATGATATATGTACATACTTAGGAAGGGTTAAAATCCGACATCATGATTCATGAATGAATAATTTCTAGTTTACCATTAAGCAAGACCAAACATGTAGAAGAGAACAGCAAATTATTTTCTCTTTTTTATAATTGTATAAGTATTCTCCATATCCGCTATAATATAAGTATAAGAGATAAAAAAGCAGACTGTGTGATAAAGAATATCGGAATATTCTGTGATGAATTGTGGGGGTGTTTATGTATAATGCAAGTTCAAGCGATATGAACTTGTTCATAGTTATACCTCCCTCATACTTTTTCGTAAGTAAATTACACACAAATTTCTTTGCATTTGATATTTTAATAAACATTTTTTAGTTCTTTTTCAGATATCCATTGTGATGGTTATGTTCCTCGGGAATCTTCTAAATATTTATTCAAAAAGTGTTTTTTTAATATAATAATTTGATGATGATCAACTTATGGCAATACATAATATAATTAAAATATTTATTAATCGGCTCAGATAATTCAAATAATAAATATTTTAAAATTAAACTTATATTAAAAATGTGGAATATTAAAACCAGTGAATACGCAATATAAATCAACGGAAACATAAAATATTGAGTATAAAAATACTACACAAAATGACCAATTTATATACACAAATTACATACATGATTATAGTATATATATATGCAAAAATATCACACTGGACAAACGTAAATTGAGTAAAAAAATTTAAATAATGAAATTAAATTAACTAATTGAATTATGTGCCTAAAAGAAGTGTAAAAGATAATACAGAATGTGTAATATTTAATCAATTCAACCACACAACAATATTCTTAAAAGCAATAACAGATTTATGTGATTATAAATTTAGAATTTTTCCCAAGATTCAATGATAATTGTAAGAAAATACTACCAGAAGTTGTAATATAAAAGAAAGATACGAAATACAAAAAAAAAAAAAAATTAAAAATAAAAAATATTTTAACAAAAATTACCTGTGGAAGTGATCCATCATTTCTATATTGTTTGTTGGTTGTTGTTGTGCCCCTCTTTTAGTCTAGTAGTATTATTTACTTTTTATTATTCTTTTTATTATCCTATACTGCTATTTACTGGATTCTATGAGTATATACTATACGATATGTAATTTTATTAATAATGAACTCAATTTGCAAACACACATCGGATAAAATATAGAAACTACTCTGCTGTATAGTTGGATCAAAGATTAGTACATATTATAGTAAATATAGTATTGTTTGGATTAAATAGTGTCAGTTTTTAAAAGAATTAAATCCAATTTCTTTAGCTAAATTTCTTGGCCTTTTAAATGTGGCCTATTTTCTTTCTAATGTAAGTCTGTAGTTACCAATCTTAATCGAATTTCTATTAAATTTGTTTAAAAAACAAACAAACATATCATAAGATATGATAGATCATGTTGCAAATTTACTTTAAAAGTGGAAGTACACAACACGCGTTGAGGCGGCAAAGCGTATTACGCTTTTCAAACTTTTCGCGCTTTAAAAGCTGCAAGCTACACACAACGCGTTATTTTTAAGACTATTGCTGTTTTAAAAATCAAAATTTTAAGATTTTGTTAAGGTTTTTAATATTTTTCTTCCATTGTTGGTAAAATTTATTTCATTTTAGTTTATTCTTATTCTACATAAAAGAAGATACAACCCTGATCAGCTGCCGACGCGTCAAAAGTTCAAAGTTGCTGAACTTTTCGCGGCAGACGCGTTACAAACTGCAGTGTGTAACTTGTTACATGAATATACACTATTTCAACTTTTTTTGACAGAAGCCTATAACGCGTTGCCGCTTACAACTCGTGTTGTAAACTTCCACCTTAACAGTGTTTTATGTAGATTGACCTGGTTTTATTCAGCCAGTTTCTGTATTGATCTGGAAACTTAATTTTTGTAAGTACAAAAAGTCGGAAAGTTGACTTTTCATAACTAGCAAAAAGGGGAAAAGTCGACTTCTTGTTTCAACTAGACCCTTCCGTGTGGTATCTGATTTCAAGAGACAAACTGACATTAGGGTTCTATAAATCGACTTTCGAATAATCGAACAATTGACTTTTTGTCGAAAAAAGTCGAAAAGTCGAAGTCGAGTATTTTGTTCCAAAAAAAGTCGATAACTCGACTATCGTCTGTGAAAAAAGTCGAAAAGTCGACTTTGTTAATAAAAGTCGAAAAGTCTGAAAGACGAAAAGTCGAAAAAAGTCGATAAGTCGAAAAAAGTCGAATAAAGTCGAAAAGTCGTAAAAAGTCGTAAAAGTCGGAAAAAGTCGAAAACTCGAAAATTGTAGAAAAAAGTTAAATATAGTCGAAAATTTTAAAAAAGTAAAAAAAAAGTCTAAAACTCTAAAATAGTCGGAAAAACTGAAAAAAGTCAAAAAATAGTCGAAAAAAAGTCGAAAATAGTCAAAAAGTCGAAAAAAATCGAAAAGTCGACTTTTAACTAAATGAAAAAAGTCGAAAAGTCGACTTTTCGTTTCTACTATAGAACCCTAACTGACATGGCTAGAGACAGACTGACATGTCATCTTAGAATCTTAAAAGGGCCCAGAATGTGTACTTTTGTTTATTGCTTTGTAAAGTAATCTTGCTTAAATTTCGAACTGTATTTGGTTGTCTATTTTTAGAGTACATTCTTTTATATCTCTGCATTTTCGTAATATAAATGATTTCACTCAAATGTTATAAAATGATTATTAGCGTAGTAAGAATCATTCTCATCAACACATCGTAGATTAAATCACAAAAGCCCGCTGAAAACTAAGCGCATGTTATTTCTATACATGTGACATTTTGAATTAAATTATCACAGCATGTTAATACAAAAAAATATTAGAACGTATAAATAAATATTAGTATGTATGTTCATATATTTTAATCTGATGGCATTATAATACACCAAACCCCTAAACCAGTTTCTTACAGAATCTGTTAAAGTGATTAGTGTTAAAATGAAAGTTATTT